ACTAGGTTCTTCATTTGGTTTTCTATTATTTTTCTTTTTGATATTTAAAGGTGCCTGCTTTGCGCCTTTAAATTAAATGCAACTTGTAAATGCAACTTGGCTGGGTATAATACACTTGGTTCATACTTTCTTTTCCCTAGAACTTTATAGCCATTATGTAATCATCTTTTGGCATGGAATATTGTTGTGGAGACTTCTGAGGCCAGCCTGGTTCCCTCCCCACCCCACCCCCAGCCTCGGGGGTTGCTTGATTTTTATGCGTAATATTTTAATTGTTAAAATTCAAAACCTTCACCAGAACATGGCTTGGTGTTGAAAGCTGTATTTCAATTTTTCCTGAAAAACAGGTGTTCTTTCAGCATGTAAGTTTAGTTCTTCCCTCATTTTGGAGATAAACTTTCTGTATATTGGAATAATTTTTCTATTTTATTTATTAGCTTCTTATACTAACTGTAGATCATCTTTGTTCTCAATATCCATTACCATCTCTGAATTTTCTGTAATCTCTTTTTCTTTTGCATTTGCTATGATTATCTCACTATAATAAAAGCCTTTTCTGTATATTAGTGTCTGTGACTTCAGCCACCACTTAACACCATTTCCATTCTGTGTCTGGTGTCTGGAGACGTTTATCTTGTTCTGAGTGCAATGTATGTCATTAAAGACATTTTAAAACACGCTCTGTTATTGTATTAGCGTGTTTGGGGAAGGACAGTGGAGGGAGGAAAGGATGGGTTTGTGTCTTTAAAGTTTTAACCTGACCAGAATTCTCTTCTAAGTTTTACAAGCTATTCTGTAGCTAACTTCTTATTCCTAATAAGTTTATTTGGGGGTTTTCTCTCTTTTTATTTCTTTCCTTCAGATTTCCCTGAGGCTGTTTCTTCTTTGCGGGACCATTTTCCGTTTTCCTAAAGTAGAATTTTGGAATTCCTTAATGAGAATCTATTGGTAGAAAATGTTCTCTTTTATTTGGAATGGTCTTCATTTTACCATTGTTGTTCCTTCTTATAGAGTGATGCCTAGGATTATTCAGTACAATGTAGAAGGGAGTGGTAAAAATGGAAATGACAATTCGTTGTCCAGTCAGGAAAATAAAAACCATTCTTGGTATTTCAACTGAGAAAATGTATTAATAGAATAGCTTTGTTACAGAGGTAATGATGAATAGAGAGCCAAACAAATATGCTTCAGATAAAAAAATAAGTACCAGTCATATTATTATTAAGAAGTTTATAAAACCAGTACCAACATGGTAATGGTATAAAAATAAGCACATAGACCAATGGAAGAGAACAGAGAACCCAGAGATAAAGCCAAGCATTTGCACCCAACTGATCTTCGACAAAGCAAAGAAAAACAAAGTGAAAGAAAGGACACCCTATTTAACAAATGGTGCTGGGATAATTGGCAAGTCACATGTAGAAGAATGAAACTGGATCCTCATCTCTCACCTTATACAACAATCAACTCAAGATGGAATAAAGACTTAAATCTGAGACTTGAAACTATAAAGACTCCAGAAGATTACATCAGTAAAACTCTTCCAGACATTGGCTTAGGCAAAGACTTCATGACCAAGAACCCAAAGGTAAATGTAACAAAAATGAAGATAATTAGATGGGACTTAATTAAACTAAAAAGCTTCTGCACAGCAAAGGAAACAATCAGCAGAGTTAACAGGCAACCCACAGAGTGGGAGAAAATCTTCACAATCTATACATCCGACAAAGGACTAATATCCAGAATCTACAAAGAACTCAAATCAGCAAGTGAAAAACAAACAATCCCAGCCAGGCATGGTGGCTCACACCTGTAATCCCAGCACTGGGAGGCTGAGGCGGGTGGATCACTTGAGGTCAGGAGTTCAAGACCAGCTTGGCCAATATGGTGAAACCCCGTCTCTACTAAAATTACCAAAAATTAGCCAGGCATGCTTGTGCGTGCCTTTAATCCCAGCTACTTGGGAGGCTGAGGCAGAAAAATCACTTGAACCTAGAAGGTGGAGGTTGCAGTGAGGCGAGATCATGCCACTGCACTCTAGCCTGGGAGACAGAGTGAGACTCTGTCTCAAGACAAAACAAAACAAAACAAAACAAAATCCCACCAAAAAGTAGACTAAGGGCAAGAATAGACAATTCTCAAAAGAATATGTACAAATGGCCAACAAGCATATGGAAAAATTCTCAACATCATTAATTATCAGGGAAATAAAATGAAAACCACAATGCAATACCACCTCACTCCTGCAAGAATGGTCATAATCAAAAAAACACAAAAAACCAAAAACGAAAACAGACATTAGCGTGGATGTGGTGAAAGGGGAACATTTTTACACTCTTAGTGGGAATGTAAACTAGTACAACCACTATGAAAAACAGTGTGGCGATTCCTTAAAGAACTGAAAGTAGATCTACCATTTGATCCAGCAATCCCATTCCTGGGTATCTACCAGAGGAAAAGAAGTCATATGAAAAAGATGCTTGCACATGCACGTTTATAGCAGCACAATTCGCAAAAATATAGAACCAGTCCAAAGGCCCACCAATGAATTAGTAAAGAAAATGTGTTTTATATATACCATGGAATACTGCTCAGCCATAAAAAAGAATGAATTAATGGCATTCCCAGCAACCTGGATGGGATTGGAGACTATTATTCTAAGTGAAGTAACTCAGGAATAGAAAACCAAACATCATATGTTCTCATTCATAATTGGGAGCTAAGCAATGAGGACACAAAGGCATAAGAGTGATACAATAGATTTTGGGGAATCAGGGGAAAAGGTGGGAAGGGGGTGAGGGATAAAAGATTACACACTGGGTACAGTGTACACTGCTTGGGTGATGGGGGCACCAAAATCTCAGAAATCACCACTGAAGAACTTATTCGTGTTACCAAACACCACCTGTTCTCCAAAAACCTATTGAAATAAAAATAAATTTTAAAAAATAATAAACAAATAAAATAGGGAGATTAACTTGGATTACTGAGGTGGGCCTAATATAATCACAAGGGTCTTTAAAGTGAAACAGGGAGGCAGAAGAGAAAGTGATAGTGATGAGGCATGAGAAGGACTTGGCCCAATATTTCTGGCTTTGAAGATGGAGGAATGGCATCATGAGTCAAGGAAAGCAGGTGGCCTCTAAAAGGTGGAAGAGACGTGGAAATGGCTTCTTCCCTGGAGCCTCCAGAAAGAAATGCATGCTTACCAACACCCTGATTTTAACCCAGTGTGGCTCATTTTGGTTGTTAGACCTCCTGAACTGTAAGAAAAGAAATTTATGTTGTTTTAAGCTACTAAGTTTGTGGAGACTTCTTAGAGCAGCAGTAGAAAACTAATACATCAAGGTCATCATTTGCTGTGAGCATTACTAACCCCTGAATGATCAGGAGAGGAAGAACCAGCTGGGGTATTCTCATTAACAATTTATTTGCACTCCCACTTTCCTTTTGGTCATTTCTTTGTTAGTATCACCACTAAAAGATGAGCAGAGACTGTAAACTCAATGAATCTGGTGTGCTTAATTTTATGTTACATTAGCACGGCTTCAAGAGGACGGCTATCCTTCCATGGGTTAAGTCTGACCAGGAGTTAGTAGTGGTTTGAGTTACTGATGCTTTCCCTTACTCTCAGTATCTCAGTGGCTACTGTTTCCTATTTCCTGCTTATATTCCAGGAAGAATAGAAATAAGACAGCAGGTGCAGAGGTTTGTGACCACACTGACTTTTTTTTTTTGCCTGTGGTAAATTCAGTTTTGCCCACGTGTTAGGCATACAAAGGGAAATCAATGCAAGTCTTTCATCACGAAAATACTTAGCTCAGCGGGTGTATTATTAACAGTTTGTTATGGCTGCCATGATGAAGTATCACAGACTGGGCAGCTTAAACAACTGAAATTTATTTTTCACAATTCTGGAATTTAGAAATCCCAAGTCAAGATGTTGGCAGAGTCAGCTTCTGAGGCCTCTGTCCTTGTCCTATAGATGGTCATCTTCTTCCTATGTCTTTATGTGGTCCTCCCTTTGTCTGTGTGCTTCTTATGAGGACATCAATCAACTTGGATGAAGTCCCACCCATATGACCTCATTTTACTTTAATTACCTCTTTAAAGGCCTTACCTCCTAAAACAATCACATGCTGAGGTACTAGTGGTTAGAATTTCAATACGAATTTTGTTCACAGTTCACAATCCAGGCCATTACACCAGGCATAAAGGCTGTTAAATAAGCATACGGAAAATCTTCAGAAAAGCTTAAATGAAAATAAGTACTTAACTTCATATCCAGTATTTGTGCACAAGAGAAAATTTACAGCTAAATAGATTTCAAATGATGGGAGTTCTTCAGTAAAGACATACCTAGATTTCTGTAATTAGTTTTACAAGGAAATGAGAAAACTGCATTTATATTAAGCCCTGATAATGATAAAATGAAGCAAGCACTGGCATAAAAATAGTAAGCTCCATGTTATAAAATGCATAAATAGAAATGTTTGCAAGAACAATCATACAAAATGGCAAGCCATTAAAATAATTATCTAAAGAAATGATTATTTCTTGAAGTAAAAGACAACTATGGAAATACACACTAATTAACCTGTCTAAAATGAAAAGAGGTAATGTGAAGCTCAAAAACACTCCTGAAGAAAAATTTAGAAATTAATAGTTCATTGTTACAATAGACGGATGAGCACTCTTGAAGTATCAAATCCTTTAAATATGAATATTTAGAACATTATGTTAGGAATAATCTGAACCAACATGAGAAATGAGAAGGAAGTAGAAACACTTTTGAGAAACTATTAAATGAATCTAGCAGTTTCTTAGTAAACATCCAGTGTGAGTAGACTGGTGGATATATTCCTCCCCAATTTGCTCTGCTCCCACCACCCAGAAACCAACCCAAACACATAAAAACTAGGAATCTATAAGCATCTCCTGTATCAGCAGAAAATAAATCAGGAGATGAGGGCACCAAGTGGAATTCAAGACTCAATCAATTGTCTTATCCATTGAAGGTACTTTAATTTTGCAGTTATTGATTAATTAAAAAACACAGTTGTTGTCAGCATTTCCTAGCTACAGTAGTGCATAGGAAATTCCATTCTAAACAAAGAAGTAATTAATGAAATAACAACACACCTTAACATTTTACATTGATAGGTTACAGTTTACAAGGTGCTTTCACATACATTATTTCATTTGATTCTTACAACAAGCAGAAAAAACAGTGGGAAAGAAATTTTTTTTTTCAGGCTTACAATGAGTATTTTCAGGCCAATGGGCAGTTAACACAAGAATATACCAAGAATGAGACAGCAATACCCATAAGCCACAGTATCTTTTTTGGTAGGTTGACAGTTTGATTCAACTGGGTGTTCAGCATCAGTGAGTGAGAAAGGAATTAGGACAGACACCAAGTTCTTACGATATTCAAATAATTTTAAGAACACTGTCAGAGATAAGAAGAAAGATGCCCTAAAATATATTGCCTTACTAAGACTTACTTCAAAGCAACATACCCTTCAAAATTTCAGATGAAAAGACAATCTTGTCATCAACTGTGAAAGTTAGGAGGAATTTTACAAACTGCCTAATCCAGTTCTTCTATTTTACAGACAAGAGAACTGAGGCTGAGATCATACTGATAGTTTTCCAGCCTGAAATTCAGATGTCTTGACTTTCAGTCTAGGGCTCCTTCTCATACAATGCCATCTCTTAATTATTTACTGAGCATAACATAGTATCTTCTGTTTCAAATAATGTAATTTGAGGTTAAATACTGATTTATGCTACTTACTTCTTATTCAAGTTTATATCTTGTTCTTGGCTAAATTGTGGCTGAAACTGGGAATTCTACATACCTTAAAAATATTCTAATTTAGAGTACTTGATTGGTCAGAAATTGACTCCCTTGACGTATTCGCTCATGATAAGCTTGCTCACGGCCTTTAAATAGAGAGTAAAATGGAATGGCTGAATAGCCCTCAAAACCAATGTATGTCTAGGGGTCATCTACCTAAGGTAGATTCTACAGCTGGGCACTAGTAATTTCATAGAAAAAAATATTTTTTTTAGAATTCATAGAAATCTTTTTGATTACTGAAAACTAAATTGTAATAATCAAATTGTCATCCCCATGACTTATTAAAATAATTTTACAATAATATACAACAAAGCTACCATAGAATTTGTAGTTTACATATAGAATACATTGGTCAGCATGTTCTTGGGTCTAAATGAAATACAAGAAAATTAAAATATTTTATACAAATGATGTTTTAAATTTATTAACATGACGATATGTCTTTGTTACATAAAACTTGCTAGAGCAGAGTATTTTAATTTTTTTCTTGCATGTTTTAAATATAGATGGACCAGTGAAATCAATATCAGCATTTACGTGACATTACCATGCAGAAACACTTGATAACCGAAAGACATATAGATTGGTAGAGAGAACATCTCAGACAGGATTTTTTTATGTCTTCAAAGGTTTTACAAGGGTGTGGTACAGATGAAAAGAAGTGGTGTGAGTGACCTACCTGCACCGATAATAAAGCAAATGGAATGATTATATACATTAAGATCAGCTTGATTAAAAACAACAAATTTTATATGCATGTAAATTGATCATTAAAATGAACCCAGTTTAACCCTTCTTGTGTGTTGTTTTAAGGTAGGTCACTGAAACGCAGAGATAAAATCAGATGGGGAAAATTAAAAGTAAAGAAAAAACCAGAAAAACAACTAGGTTAAGCCATGGATTCTCAACAAACACTGAACTAAATGTGCAAAAGTGCTTGAAATTTCCACCTGACAGCAATGTTGTTAAGTCAGTTGGCAAAAAAAAGTGTAGAAAAAAACCTAACCTCTCAAATACCAAAATTGTATCTGCATGATCGATCAGACATTCTGTTTACTGACAGAAAAGAGGTTAGAAATTATGAAATATCTGAAAATATCATACCTCAAAATTAAAATACAATTGTGGCAGTTTTACACACTTTGTTCCCTTTCCTCATTGATGAGGCATGGGATGAAAGCAGAAGTTGCAGCAGTGCCCCTACCCTAGGCTCACAAATATAGTATACCAGAATAATTAGCTGGAAACAACTTCTTTTTAAGGGTTACAGAACAAAACAAACGTAAACCCTCATTTAAATATGAATACCTCTATAATGTTTTCAATAACCAAGCCATTTTTTGACTTTGCAAAGTGTAAGTATTTATCCAAACCAATGTTCTTTTTAGTTTGCTTATTTTCACTTAAAAAGTTTATGATGAGGACTATTAGAGAAACTGTAAAATTTGTCACTTTCATTAACCATGTTCTATTAAAATACTGGCTAAAATCCTTAAGGAACAGTTAAGGTTTAGAAAACTTAGAACTCTTCTCTAATACCTACAGAAATGCTGGTACCAAGTGAGAGAATCTGGGTGATGATCCATATCATTAGTTTTTCCTGCTGAAAGTGACACATTTGTCACACTACACAGGCTGGTCACTTCATTACTCAAGGGGAGGAGGATATAAAAGGAGGGAAAGGGAACTAGAACCTCTGATCTACAGCCATCCAAATTTCTGGGTCTAGCTGTACTGTATTAGTCTACCAAAATTTACTGCCGGAATAGTGAATTCCAAGAAAGTTAGTTTTAATTTGTATAAATTTCCTTGGTGATAAGACAGTCTATCTTCAAAAATTACCAAGAGTTTTGGCAAAACCGAGTCTGAGCTACTCAAAGTAAAAATAATTATTAGAAAGTTTATCTTCAAGCCATTGACCAACAACAATATTGGCAAGAACTACTAAAAGCAACACTTATCCTTCCCTTCAAATACCACGTAGCCATAACACTGCCCATCTGAAACACCAACAAAATAAAATGGAGCACTGTTTAGAGAAAACCAATGAAACTGGAAAAGGAAGAAATGGATGTAGGAGAGGAGAAAGACAACCCAAAGATAAGTAAGAAAGTGGTCTAGTACTGTGTTATGGCACAGACAATGCTTGCTTAGCGGTGCCTTGTTACATAGGTGGATGCAGAGTGCACACACGGGATGATGGCAATAAAGACCTCACTCAGTCGTTGGAATGAAGGAACTAGGTAACTGCTTCAACAAGGACGGTCTCAGCTCTACCTTATCTCTCAACAGAGCGCAAACACTGAGTGTGAGCTCGGATGTCATCTTGTTCCTCTTTAAAATTCACCAAATTCTTTTGCACATTTTTCTGTTATAGAGACACGGATATCTTCTTCTTCATAGTCATCAAAGTTGCTGGTATCTCCAGAGCCTCTAAACTTTGGTATGAATGGAGCTTCAACCTATAATTGACCGAGAAAGAAAAATAAGAAAAAAGAAAAAAAAAATTCCTGAGAGTTTCCAAACACCAAGAAAAATAAATTCCCACTGTTATTACATGGTGGAATCCTTAGATGCCATTAGGTTCCTAAAATGTAATAGGGCTAGAAGCAGCAGCAAACAGTAGGTTAGCTATTAACCTCAACATTTTGATTCAAGGAAGTATGCAGGTCAACAAAATACTTAAGAAATTTCTGGGATAATTAACTGTTGGCATCAAAATCCTGGCTCCTAAGGTTACAAAACTTAAGTCTTAATGTTTAGTTCCTTGTTTTTAAGACCTTATCTTTTCCTATTCCTTTTGTAAAAATTCTTTTCTCCTGAAGTTACAGATAAATCTCAGACTTACTTTTAATTGCTTTCCTTTTTTAATTCCCAAGTTTGTTTTGTTTAAAATATCTGGCCATCAAAACTTTCTGAGAGGTTGGAAAGAAACATATCTCTTTTAGAATTAGAGAACTGTTAAACCTTAAACATTTTTCTCCTTTGATCCTAAAAGTAAAATGTCTTCCCACTACTTTGAATATGGTCTTCCATAAAGATTAAATGTGGGTACTGAATACGTTTGAGGAAAAGATTTTAAAAGTTAAAAAAAATCATAATCTGCACAGCCTTTAGAGAATTTACAAACAATTACAGTCACTTTATTTTGTTCTCAATACAACACTGTGAGGAAGGAAGGACAGGTGTTCTTACTCCCATTTTACAGATTATAAAAGAGTCGACCAAATTCACATGATGGATAAGCGGCTAAAGCAGCTTTCAAATTCATGATTCTCCACTTCTGGCCCAGAGCTCTCCAAGGGTTTTTAATTTATATCTCTTTCAGTAAAACATTTTCTAGTATACATAATCAATATATATGGTTATTTACGTACAAATTATTTAGATGCATGACTATACTAAGATATACACACAAATAAGGTATTGAAAAAGAATAAGGTAAAAATAAGCAGGAATGGGACTTCTAATATTATCTTTTTGTTTGAGAGCTGGTTGCCTTGCATGCCCTGCTTTGGGGACTGCTGTTTTGCACTGTCCAGAAGAATGAGATAAGCAGACAGTTGCTTCATGTCTAGCCAGCCAGCAATTTAGAATAACAGACCTATTGGGGCAATCACATGTAGAAAATGATTGTGCAGTTTGAGTTGTTCAGGCCACTTCTTTCTTCGGCCTTTTTTCTTCCCTGATGCATTTGCAGATGTATCAGAGAATAAAGAAGACAATGAAAACTATTCATATTTACTATGATTTTTGCACCGCTGTGCATAGTTATAATAGTTGAGAAGACAAGAAAACAAATGGTTAAAGTACTCTATTATTTTTATTTGTAAATTATCCAGGGATCCTTACATCTGTTTCATTGATAATCAAGATTTGGCTGTCAATCAATTTGTCCATTACTATAACCTGTACGTTACAGTGTGCCACTTGTTGGTAGGTTAGCTGTTTATTACCTGGGAAAAGTCAAGCCCTTTGAAAAGCACATAAACTCTAAATGAGTAGTGGCAGTCCAGTTCTACTCCATTTTGGGAATAATTATTAAAAATTAAATCCATAACATGAATAGATTAGTAAATGATTGCCATTTGGCAGAAGATTTTATTTGTAAATATAAATATGAAAAGATGCAAATACATCATAAATCTTTAGGATGCTAATAAAGCTGACAAGCCTCAAGGCAATCTAAAAAATATACCTCGAAATAGCATTAATTAACAATAAATACAACAATAAAGATAATATAAGCAATGATAATTAGAAAGGGAAATGGATGATTTTATTGGAAATATAAATTTCTTAAATTGACTCAAAAAGTAAAAACTCAAAGAGACCAATATCCAAGAATTAGTTTGTGAAAATTTATAAGGAATAGATATAAGATAACTCTATGTTCCTAAATTTTCTGCAGAATAAAAGGATGGAAACTTTCTAAACTCATTTTATGAATCCCATATAATCCCAACTTCAGAAAAACATAAACTATAGATTAATAAAACTTATGACTATGGAAGTAAAAACACTTAATAAGATTTTGGCAAATAGATTTCAGGCAAATATTCAAATGTTAATACCCCATGATTAAATGGTATTCATTCCAGGAAAGTGAGGATGTCTCCCTGATATAATTCATCACACTAACATGTCAAAAAAGACAAAATACAGTGTATTAGAAATCAACAATATTTTGTTAATCTGATAAAGAATACCTATCTCAGCCAAATGGCCAACTTTATATTTGGTGGCAAAACATGAAAGGCAACAAACTATAGAAATGATCCCTGAAAATATATTTTTGGGCATTTCCATTCAAAGCAGGAACAAGACAAGAAAGCTCAAGAGCCCTACTGCATTAAAATATTGTTTTAGACATTCTAATATGTATAATAAAACAAAAATGGAAATGAGATGTAAATACTGAAAAGGAACAGACAAAATGATATGCCAATCTCCTGTGATTGTCAATAAAAATCCAAAGGAATCACTGAAAAATGTGGAAATCAATAACAGAATTTAGTAACATGGTCAATTATAATATAAACATAGAAACAATATGTTTTGCCCATATCCTACTATAATGGGAAAGCAAACACAATAATAGCAACCAAAATAAAAATTTAAGCAATAACTTTAAGACATAAATTCCTTCCTATATGGAGGAAGCGGGGGGGTCTCTAAAACTTTACTGAATGACAAAAGATGTTTGAGGAAATGCAGAAGCAACATGTTCATAATGGCAACTTCTCAAGATTCAGGTTCTCTCCTAATTAATATGCAACTTTATTGTTAATTCCCAAATTAAATCAATCTTTAGAGAGACCAAACAAACAAACAAACAAACAAACAAAAAACCCCATAAACCATTGGCAAGTTTAATAAAAAAAGAAAGAGAAAACATACAGGAGACAAGGATGATTTTCTAGGAAATATAAATTACCTAACTTGACTCTAAAATAATGCATATGGGGCAAGAGAACAGAAAATTTGGAAAGGGTAAACAAAGGTGAAGAAACTGGACCCACCTAATATTAAAATATTTTAAAGCTACATAAAGCAGAGACATATACAGTACAAAAACAGACAAAAAGAACTAAAAAATAAAGATCAGGGCTTCAAGATGGCTGACCCAGAACTCTCCTCCACAAAGAAGGACAGTGAGTAATTACATGTTGAATAAAGCCTCTAAGAGAGAATACTGAAATGTAGCAGGGAAGTGACAGGGAACATCTGGAGCAGGGAAGCAAAAGGAAGTGAAGCAGCTGGCCTGGCTGGGACCAGCTGGGAGCCAGAAGAGGTTCTCCAGTGCGGGGAAAGGGTAACTGAGAGATCCCCAGTGGTCCACGTTTCCACCACAGACTTGCAATCCTAGCCATGTAAGATCCCTACAACCCTTGTGAATTCTGAGACAAGTATAGGGACCTGCCTGGAGTTCACACAACAGCCTTGTTCCAGAGAGGGAGTTTGTTCCAGAGAGGGAGTTTGTTCCAGAGAGGGAGTTTGTTCCAGGTCCCACACCCATTCCCAGGACCCAAGAAGCTGAAGCACAGTGCCACTTTGAGAAGCCAATTACCATTAGATGGTATGCATCTCTATACAACCTGGAGCCCAACTGACAGTGCCCCACGTCCACCACGGGGGCTCCAATGGTGCGGCTGGGTCCCCAGCACTCTAGCCCACACAGTGTCCTATACTCCAAAGAACAGGCAGGGCAGCACACTAGGGAAGGCTGTTTCTGGGGCAAAGGAAGCCAAAGCATACACTCCCCAGAGCCTGAGAGCCACCCGCCTGGGGCCACTGCCACTGATAGCAATGCCCAGCCCCCATAACAGGGCTGCCATGTACTTGCAGCACCTTCAGTGGACCTGGGAACTGGCCCATCTGGATTCTATTTGGGGGCATGAGGACAGACTCACTCTGCCTACCACCTCTCAAGTATTTTATCCAGGGGCCTAGGAATAGTCCTTCCCTGCCTACCAGAGTCTGTATCTGTGTACACCAATGGGAGTCTGAGGACAGGCCTGTCCCTTTAAGTGCCACCCCTCTCAGTGCCCCAGCACACCGCCTGAGGGGCTTGGGAAGTGGCCCCCTCTGTCTATCACTCTGGGTACACATACATATGATCAGGAAGCATGACAAAAGACTCAGGTCGTCAGCCACTGGCATCAAAACTGCTGTCCAGTGGCCCAAAGACAGACCTGTTCACCACAGCCTGCACCCACAGGTACAACAGAGAAGCCTGGGGACAGGCCTTCCCTGCCTGGTGGCACCTCCCACAGTGACTGAGTGCACTGTCTGGAGGCTTGGGGATCCATCCACTCTGTTTGCTGCCTCCGGCATGCACATGCACCATCAGGGGGTCTAACAACAGAACCAAACCACCGACTGCCTGCACTCAAACACATTGTTTGAGGGCCTGGGGATTGCCTCACTTGGTCCAACACAGCCTGTGCCCATGTGCACCATTGAGGGTCCTGAGTATATGCCTGCACTGCCTGGCACTGCAACCCCAATGCTCAAGTATGCCATCTGAGGGCCTGGGGATTGCCCTGCCCCACCCACTACTGGCCTGAGGTTGGGTCTGCCCAGTCTGCCACCACTACCACTGCTGGCACTTACCCACATATGCCACCTGAGGGTTTAGGGCCTGGCTTGTCCAGTCTGTTGCTACCATCACTAGCAGCAGTGTGGACTGCCTGGGAGCCTGAGGGTTGGCCTGTCATCACTGCTACGATTGCTTATGCCACACATGCGGCACGGGAGACTAAGGTCTCATCCATCTGCCCAGTCTACCACTGCCACTACTGGTACCTGAGCAAGCCACATGGAGGCCTAAGCATTGGCCCTCGTGGACCTGCTAAAATTGATGCCAGTCTATGGCCACCAGGGGACCAAAGGCGGGTATGCTTGGCCTGCTGTTACCACCACTGGGGCCCGAGGATCAGGATGCCTGGTGTCCTTGTCC